GATTTTGACAATAATTTTGAATCAATTGAATAAACAGTTATTTTTAAAATGAGATGATTTTTATGTGTATTTTATTTTGTGTTTAACAAATATATCTTTTGCTATTTTGGCATAATATGTGTGTAATTAAAGTAACCATTACTTAAATATTTGACATTTTATTTATTTTTACATATATTTCTTTTAATCTTTACATTATACTGTATTTAACATATAATTTACCTCACTGACATTAATTACCCGTTACAATTTCTTTGGTTTATACGAATTTTGTAAATATTATTTTTATTGAAATTTATCATTATTCTGGTTTTAGCATAACTTAACATAAATCTAGTTTATTTTTATTTTGAATGCAGTTTATTTGTAATCATGGTTAATTATTTATGTCATTAACACAATATTTCAATTCTGTGATTACATTTCAATTGATTGTGGTATAACAATACAAAATCACTTTATATTTATCTTGTAAAAATAATTTTATAATAATATAAATCTATGTAAAAATGGATCATTTAAATATTGTTTAGGTTCTCATCCCATATCTATAAGAATTAATAAACTAGGTGTATTTGTAAGCTAGCATTTACTATTTATGACAGTTTTTAAACAATTTATTTATTTAATTAAAAAGTAATTATTTTATAGACTTATATGAAAAATAAATGAACTATTGTTTGCACAGTGATTATATGGCACATCATTATCAGTAATACTTTATTTTCTTTACAGTTATAATTAATCTAGGTTCATAGACATGCAGCACTATACATTATACATTATTGTAGCACATTATTATATAAGTTCAATTTTCAATTCTTGTGTTAATTGTTCTGATATAATTTTACTCAAAACGTTGAAAACTATTTTACTTTACAAATGTTATTATTAATAACTTATTAAAAAAATAATAATAATAAATCCAATTTTATTAAACTAGAAAATTACGATTTATTTTCTCATAAAACAATTTTGACTACCGGTGAACAATAAGGTTATCTATTTTTAGATTAGTGTTGGCCATTAATCTTATGTTTTGAATTTATCTAGAATTCTTTGGGTGTAATTATTGTTTAATCTTATTTAAACATTTCTATAGTAAACAATTAGCCGGGTAAAACTAAAGTATTTATTGTAAATGTTTATAACTTAATACATTGCCAACCCTTACAAACTTTTATCCCACCCTTGGTTCACATTAACTGTAAATGTGTTTGTGTTTACAATTAATGCTATCATTAAAAAGCCTTAAAGTATCTGCAAAAACAAATATAAGTTAATTTTTATATTATAAATACAGCAAACAATTGGTGTTAAAAACTTATTTAAAAAAATAACATAATCGTTTATTTCAATTTAAAGGTCATAATGCGTTTAATATTTTTAAAAAAGCATTATGCTCATTATTTGTTTCCTAACAAATTGTTTTATTAAAGTTTGGCAACTAATCCTGTCTTGTATTAAAACGCGTATTATATTAACATAAGTTTATTGTATTATTTTTTCATTGCGATAAATATTGACATAAATAGACAACAAAATTGCAGCAAACAATGAAACACACGTAAAAAGTGTAAAAATTCAGTGAATATGAATAAATATACAAATAATTTGCCATAAAGTGTTCAAAATTAATGCAATAAAATTATCAATGTTTAAATGCACTAGCTACTTTACATTCTACCATAATCATTACCGCGATGAACATCACAGCAAACGGTTCCCTATATCTAAATGGGTATAAAATGTTAGCCGTTTACGGCATACTCGGCGCCCAATCCATAGGTTTGGTTTCAAACATTATTTGCATTATAATTGTTTCCAAACTGAGCGACAGTCGGCTTAAGAGTCGGCCCAAAGTGCTGATGGCCAACATTGCCGTCTCGGACACTATACTCACGCTCAACACCATATTCCCGAGACTGGCAATCATGAAGTTGATCGTCGATCAGCCAATGAGCGCCCACGTGTTTCAGTCGGTGCGAAACTACCTTGATAACATCACACTCTATGTGACATCGTTCACGTTTACGCTGATCGCGTGCGACCGGTATTACGCCATCACACGTATATTCGCCAACCCTTTTGACGGCCACTCGACGGCCCGCCTGTTGGCCATTGTTTGGACGTCGAGTGTCGTACTGTCGGTGCCCTTCATTATCACCAGTGATGTCGACTTTTACGACTTCGACACCTCTACTCTCTATTGCTTTAACGACGGCACGTATATGTCTGGGATCAGCTCCGACAAGACATTCATCGTCAGCACTCGTATATTCGCTATGTTTGTTGACTTTTTGCTGCCAACTCTATTAGTCACGTGGTTCACGTGTTGCATCATATGGCAGCTCCTGGACGACTACATCCGGTCGCTCAGACCCGACGGCCAACACGTGCCGCACGACCTCCAGAGGTGTGAGATTACAAAGAGATTGATATTCATATTAGCGGTGTTTGTGCTCAAGAATTTGACCTATTATTTGGCCATAAATGGGTTGAGCTTTGATTTTAGTCACCGCTACCCCTCGTCCTGTCGATTGACACAATCGTATTACTTCTTTTACGTGGCCTTTAGGACCACCTCTTCGTTCAATTCGTTGATCTTCTTCTGGTTGAGCACTGAGTTTAGGGGACAGTTGTGGCGGTTGTGGTCACAGCGACGCGGCAGTGGACTGTCGGCCGGCGCGCGACCGGCGTTACGACCACAACATTCATATACTGTGCGATCGGTTTCCCAACAGTTTTCTCTGTAAATTAGGATATTACAATTTTTACATAGTTTATAAATTATAATAAAATATATTTTTAATTTTACACAATCATTGTTTTGAATAGAATTTACAAGTTTTACAATAAATATTGTAAGTTATTTATTTTTATGAAATTATTATATTAATACTTAAAAAGTAATATTTCGCACTGATGTAAGTTTTTGTTCATGAAGTACTTATTTTGGCACATTTGAGTTATTTTCCATAAATGTACTGAATTTTAATATTCTGAGTTGAAATTGTTTTAAATTGCATTTATTGATATTTACTGTATATAATAAAAATTTTCCATATATTAATTAAATTACAAGGATAACTAGTTTTATAATCTTAATAATATTATCAAATTAAAATACAGTGTTGAAAATTGTACTTAAATCTATATCTTGAAATATTTATCAAGTATTAATAGTTGTTTATTGCTAAATTAGCACATTGTTAAGGTATAAGTTTGCAATCTATCAGTATACAGTAAGTTACATCTATTATATTGTAGTATAAGGTTTTTAAAATAGATGCCCTCAGATCGGAATTAAGTACACCTGTGAATAAATTAGTGCATAATGCATATATTGGAACATTTGATAAAGGATTAATATGGCAAATACTAGGGTTGGTAATATACAAAGCTTGTATTTTACAATTGTATTGTTCTTTGTATACTGTACATTAGTAAAAAGCAAGATTCGCCTTTTTGGACAATACAGTAAGAGGCAGCTATCTGTAAGGACGCGCCGTGAAGTTATTTTTTCCGCTACACACGTAAGAGCGGCATAGCGGTGTGTATTTTACGTGTATAGCGGCAAAAATAACTTCACGGCGCGTCCTTACAGATAGCTGCCTCTTACTGTATAAAAGTTTACAGCGCCACCGATTGGTTAAACTTTTCAAACACACAAAAAACGTGCAAGTCGTTTGTGTAATCCAAATGTGTTTACTTATTTAATTTAAAAATAATCATTGTTTTTAAAATGAATAAATCTAAATCAAAACCAAATGTTTTGAGATTTACAAGTTTTCAAATCATTCGAATAAATTTTTAAATGGAAGCATTTAGTCATTAAACTGATATAACATGTGTCATTAATAAGATAAATGCATCAAAATTGTTTATTTTTTGTTTTACTAAAACATGTTAATATTTCCATATAGTAAATAAAAATACTTGTATAATACAAAGCGTCAAAAATATATTTTATTTTATCAACCCTATTAAATACAGTATACAGACTTTGTTCCATTGCGGGCATAAAGGTCTTATAATCAGTTTGTTTGATCTTCATTGTTTTCTATGCTAATAATACCATGATATTTTAGTTGTACAGTATTAAATTAGAAAGTAATCTAGCAAATTTAAGTTTATGTTCAATATAATTAATTTATTTGGTTTTATGTAAACAATCTCTAGACAAATCAAGAAATGGTGCATGTTACATAATAAAAGTTTGCTCTCAAAGTAAACTTTGAATTCATCTTTATTAAAAAATAAATTATACTAACACCATGAATTTATTTGGTATAAAAAGGGTTGTATTCCTAACACAGAATTCACACAAGAATTTCAGAACAAATTCAAAGTTAAATAAAGTATTATTTTATTGAAACAATTGATTTGTTTTAGAAAATAAGTAAAAATGAAATTTTTAGTATTTGGTGTCCTTTTCTTCACTGCTCTCTACGGTATGTCTCATATATTTTAATCATTTATAACAAAAATTACTAATATTTTGTACAATTGATAGCATCGGAAGCGATGACAATAAGAGAGTCAAACTCAGACCCGATAAAAGAGCACCTCTTGAAGGAAGTGTCAGACCTTTTAGACGAGACGAGGAAAGCGATCGACACTTTGGAGAAGACGGGGAAAGAAGCGCTCAGAAATGGGTTGACTAAAGCCATTGCAATCGCCAAAGAGTTGGACACAAAACTGAAGGCTTTGAAACCCGAGACTGATTTGGGAAAAGTGTTGGCAAAAGGCGTCGACAACTTAGCCGTTGAGGCGTCGATTTGGTTGGAGTCGGAGCTGAAGAAAGTGCCGCCAATGGAGTCAATGGAGACCAACGATTCCATCAAAGAATTAGTTTTGAAACAAGTTTCTGAACTCTTGGATGAGGCGAGAAAAGCGATCGACACTCTGAAGGCCTCGGGAAGGGATCAACTGATCAAAGGTCTGAACGCAACCATCAAATTGGTTGAAGACGTGGAGAACGAGTTGTCAGGTCTTCACCCGTCGACTGATATCGGAAATCCCAAATCAGTCTCGGGTTTCAAAGCCTTCAGTTTTGTGTCCAACTCTTTGGCGATTGCAATGGCTTTAGTCAACCCATTTCTGAGCGCCTCTTTCCCTGTCTTCGCCAAAGTGTCGATCGCTTTCCTCGTCTCGTCTAAAATGTCTGACACTTCCTTCAAGAGGTGCTCTTTTATCGGGTCGTCGTTTGAGTCTCTTATAGTCATCGCTTCCGATGCTATCAATTGTATGAAAATATTATTAATTTTTGTTATAAACGATTAAATATATGAGACATACCGTAGAGAGCAGTGAAGAAAAGGACACCAAATACTAAAAATTTCATTTTTACTTATTTTCTAAAACAAATCAATTGTTTCAATAAAATAATACTTTAGTAAACTTTGAATTTGTTCTCAAATTCTTGTGTGAATTCTGTGTTAGGAATACAACCTTTTTTATACCAAATAAATTTGTTGTTAAAACATATCAATGACTTAATTATCATTCATTTTTTAATAACGATGAATTCAAAGTTCACTTTGAGAGCAACCTTTTATTATGCAACATGCACTATTTCTTGATATGTCTAGAGATAGTCTACATAAAACAAAATCAATCATTCATATTAAACTATTGTTAACATAAAGTTAAATATGCTAGATTAGTTGGTAATTTAATACAACTAAAATATCATAGTACAATATTATTAGCATAGAAAACAACAAAGATCAAACAACCCGATTATAAAACCTTTATGCCCGCAATGGAACAAAGTCTATATATTTTATTTACTAGGGTTGGTAAAATACAAAATATTTTAAAAACTTTGTATTATGCAAGTATTTTTATTTACTCACTAATTGTTCACATCCTGTTACCATTGATTCAATTGTTTCTAAAACTTGTAACTTGTAAACTTGTAATACAAAGAATAATACAATTATAAAAGACAAGCTTTGTATAGTACCAACCCTTGTTTTACCATATTAATCTTTTATATGATATAAATTATATCAAATGTGCCAATACATGCATTGAATTTATTCACATGTGTACTTAATCCCGCTCTGAGGGCATCTATTTTAAAAATCTTATACTACAATATAATAGTAACTTATAGGTTGAGAACTTATACCTTAACAATGTGCTAATTTATTGATTAATTAAACTACTACTGATACTTGATAAATATTTCTAAATAAAGTAAATTCTTTATATACATTACATTATTCTGTATATTCTAGTTAAGTAGATTTAGGGACAATTTTCAACACTGTATTTTATTTTAATAATATTAATAAGATTATAAAAACTAATGAATTTTAATGATATTGTAATATTCAATGTTAGACTTTTATACACAATATAAGTCAGAATATAATAATAACCCAAAAGTACTAAATTATTGACTGAATATTAATTATAAAAAACAATGCGAAAAATCACTTTCTAAGTATTAATATAACAATTTCATAAAAATAAATGACTTACAATACTTATTGTAAAACTTGTATTGCACATAATTACAGTATGATTGTGTAAAATTAAAAATATATACTATATTATAATTGATAAATTATGCAAACAATTAAAATATCCTAATTTACAGTGAAAACTGTTGGGAAACCGATCGCACAGTATATGAATGTTGTGGTCGTAACTGCGGTCGCGCGCCGGCCGACAGTCCACTGCCGCGTCTCTGCGACCACAACCGCCACAACTGTCCCCTAAACTCAGTGCTCAACCAGAAGAAGATCAACGAATTGAACGAAGAGGTGGTCCTAAAGGCCACGTAAAAGAAGTAATACGATTGTGTCAATCGACAGGACG